AAGACTTTTTTTTTTAAATTCCTCTTTTCTTTTTCATTGTATTTTACCTCATTTTAATATAAAAAAATAATATTAGATTATTTGCTTTTTCAAAGATTAACTGTGAGCTATTAATGACAGCAACAATTATCTAAATGTAAAAATAGGGGATATAAGTCTGCACAATTAAATATACAGTAAATTAAAATAAAATTAATTTAAAAATTGTGTATCATTTAATATTATTTTAAAAATTGTGTGTATTTACACTATTGATAAAAGTAACTATCGGAAACACATAACTGAATTGGCTTCTAATGATCTCAAAAACCCTTTTCTCTCAAGGCTTATGCTTAAATGCCTGAAATTAGTTTTGTAGACAAATATAATTATTCCGTATCATTTTTATGCAGTATTTTTTATTTATTATATGTATTTATTTATTTATTTATTTACAAAAATTTTTATTTAAAAAAATTTCACAATATAACACCTATACTTCCATTTAGTTTATTTAGTTGTAATGACTAATCTCATGATCCGTCTGCAGGTCTCCTGAGTTTAATGACTTCCTGAAACACTCGCTGGATAAGAATGTGGACAACAGGTGGAGCACAGCACAACTACTTCAGGTGAACTGACCTGTCCCGCATTTATTCCAGCATTTGAAATCTGAGACCACATCCACACAACCTTGACCTAAGCTGAGCTAGTATTGCAGCAGCCTCTCAGTGTAAAAGCCCCTTGTTTACTATCACCCTGGTCTGCTGCTCGTCCAATTGGCCTTTCTTGCCCCATGAATCAGCAGCTGTTCATTTATAGGTTTGTCTGTGTCAGGCACTTTCTGCACCAGCCGTCATCCTAAGAATTGACGTCAGCAAAGGAGATTTTCTTTCCGAGGCTTTAAGTAGGCCAGCCTGACACTGACGGGGAACAGATACACACACGCTCAGTTATGAAACACTGCAGGTAGAGGCTGAATGGGGATGAAAATACAGAGCTCGAGTTTTCCTCCAATTAAGGTGATCATATCAAAGAAGCTGCACATTCTCAGACCAGCTATAGACTGTCTGCAGCAGGTCTCAAAACCAAGAAAGGTAAGAAATGGAGACTAGGATCCTTATGGGACGTTGATTTTGTTGTGCTTGTTGTCCTCTTGTCTGTTTCAGGCTTCCTGTTTGGCCTGTCTTTTGACAACGCAATAAATCTTAATAGTCTTAAATTAGGCCTTATTTTCTTAATGCCAGATAGTGATGTACAGTATATCAGTACCATATTTGTTTTTTTTATCAGACAATATTTGGCAAATGTTTTTATTTTATTGGCTATTTAATTGTGGAGGCTCATTACACATGTATTTTTACAATTAGATTTGACTGTCATGAAGTACATTTTTGAAAACACTAATAATTTAATAGCACTATTTATTATTTAAATTAATTTTTATTATTCTTGACCACCAGTTCTTCAACAGGCTTCAAAATTATATGAGATGAAGGCTGATTTATGTCAAATGTATTTTTGTAAATATGGTGGTGTTATTTTACTCATAAGGCAGTTAATTCTTAATTCTTTCCTATATGATTTTTACTTTATTTTCTCATTGTTTTATTTTATTTTACACATTTAACTGAATTTGTTTCTCAAGATCTTTGAAAACACTAATATTTTAATAGTACTGTTAAGTGTAATCTTTAGCAAATCTCAAAATGCATATTCATTTTTCATTTTGTACAATATAATTGTGATTTCACAGAGAATATTGTACAGCTTTAGTACAATTTTAATATCTACTATAACATATAGTCTTAAATTAGGCCTTATTTTCTTAATGCCAGATAGTGATGTACAGTATATCAGTACCATATTTGTTTTTTTTATCAGACAATATTTGGCAAATGTTTTTATTTTATTGGCTATTTAATTGTGGAGGCTCATTACACGCGTATTTTTACAATTAGATTTGACTGTCATGAAGTACATTTTTGAAAACACTAATAATTTAATAGCACTATTTATTATTTTAATTAATTTTTATTATTCTTGACCACCAGTTCTTCAACAGGCTTCAAAATTATATGACATGAAGGCTGATTTATGTCAAATGTATTTTTGTAAATATGGTGGTGTTATTTTACTCATAAGGCAGTTAATTCTTAATTCCTTCCTATATGATTTTTACTTTATTTTCTCATTGTTTTATTTTATTTTACACATTTAACTGAATTTGTTTCTCAAGATCTTTGAAAACACTAATATTTTAATAGTACTGTTAAGTGTAATCTTTAGCAAATCTCAAAATGCATATTCATTTTTCATTTTGTACAATATAATTGTGATTTCACAGAGAATATTGTACAGCTTTAGTACAATTTTAATATCTACTATAACATAAAAAAATAATTAATTAATTATCAGCTTATCAGACAGAATTGTTATATATTATATTATAATATATCATTTATATGATATATTTTAGTTATATATGTTATGTGTGTGTGTGTTGTGTGTATATGTATATATATATATATATAATTTTTATTTTTTTTTTTGTAGTAAAAGTAGTTTCCTTCATGTGTGCAGCACCCCTTTGTAAGTAGTGTGACTGACAACCGACCCCTGCGGGAGCTCATCGCAGAGGCCAAGGCGGAGGTCACAGAGGAGATAGAGGAGCTGAAGGAGGAAGAGGAGGAAGAAGATCATGAAGGAAACCTGGTAAGAGATTATAGGAACTGCTAACAAATTTTGAACACTTTTCAGAGAAAGATTAAACCTAGTGTAGACTACTAAGTCTGGGTGAATTCTCAGCATACCACTGGCCAGTAGATTGTCCTGAGGTACAATTTGCATTTATTACATAGCAGAATGTTGTTGTTTTTTTCCTTCTTCAATATCGTGCTAACATGTTTAAAATAATATTTTCTTCAGCTGCTTCCTGGACACAAACGTGCACCATCTGACGCTAGCGTTGGAAGCTCTGAAGACGAGAAGCTTCCTCAGTCGCCGTCCACCTTGGAGTCTGTTCCTGAGAAGATCGAGGAGGTGGCTACACCCAGACTGCCAGATGGTCAAGTTATAACTGGAATAAAGGCGGAACAAGAACCTCTGAAGGTAGACGAGAACCACATCGCGGATGTAGAAGAACCTGGATCCAAGGAACAACCTGTGAACGTATCTCCAAAGGAATCTCAAGAACCTGAAGCTGGAGAGAAGCCTGTAGAACCAGAAACTCCTGCTGTCTCAAGAGTACAATCGGAGGAGCAAAAAGTAAAACCTGAGGGATGGAAACTGGAAGAGGAAAAGGAGGTGGTGGGCAATGGTGAACTCATAAAGGAAGCGTCTGCATCAGACATTTCTTCATTGGAGACACGAACAGGACCTGTTAAACAAGCTGTGCCTGATAAACCTATTCCAACATCTCCATTGAAAGAAGAAGAGAGCGTTGAGGAAAAGGAGAAACTTGAACTGGAAGAGAAGCAAAGCCCAGTGAAACCCAGGTATGTGAAGAAGGAGGACTCCGACTCTGGGATCAGTTCTTCAGCTGACAACAGCAGCATAGACCTGAACTTATCTATCTCCAGCTTTATTAGCAAATCCAAGGAGCCAGGAACCATTTCTCAGCAGGTGAGAAACACCTTCTGTCATTACACTGGTTCTGTGATCTTTCATTGTCTGGTTGCTAGCAGCAAGAATGAAAGCATTTCAGTAGATCCTTTGATTTAAATTTCAGTTGTTAAAAATGTTGTTAGACCTAGTTTTATACTTTTTTTTTTTTTTTATCATTTCAAACTGCTTCAATGCATCAGTTAAAAACTCTGATTCAGTGATTTGTTCATGTTGTCACTCAAAAATGTTCCCAGTGTGGCATTTTTCTTTTATTAAAAAGTTTAAATATTACAAATATAATAAATTGAAAAAAATATATTGTGAATTATTAATTTAGTGAAAAACAGCATCCCTTGATTGATTTAATTATATATATATATTATATAATTAAATTATTATTTAATTATATAATATATATATATAGTTATTTTTTTTGTTATATATATAGTTATTATTATAAATGTTTTTTAATGGGGGTACGTTTTTACATTTTAAACTTTTTTAACATTTTATATAGGTTATAGATTATTTATTTATTTTAACTGAGTTTAAGATGTAAGCTTTTTAAACCTATAATCTAAAAATAAATGGTAAAAAAAATATAGTGTGAGTTAATTTTGGGAAAATTGTTTAAAAAGCATCATACCAATTATTAATTAAATTAATTCATTAGTTCGTTAATGTGTTCAAGTTTAAACATTTAAAACATTTTAACCTTTAGGCTACAGTGGCTGTTTGGTCAAACTATATATGTTCTTACTAAAGAAAAAATTAAAGGTGGGGTAAATGATTTCTGGTAGCCAATGTTGACATTTGAAACACGCCACTACCCCAAAAGTGTCTCACCCCTATTTTGATAGCTCCGCCCCACACATACGTACGCAACCAAGGCAACGATTAGTTCTGTGAAACAAAGCAAAACCAATGTTACATCGTGTCTACACTGGACGCGAGTGGCGCGGCGCGACAAATTACTATAGAACTCATTATAATCAGTGATGCTATACACCAGTGATCCTCAAATCTGGCTCGCAAGATCCACTTTCCTGCAGAGTTTAGCTCTACCCTAATCAAACACACCTGAGTTTGTTAATCAATGTCTTCAGGATCATTAGAAAATCACAGGTAGGTTTGTTTGATTATAGGGTTGGAGCTAAACTCTGCAGGAAAGTGGATCTCGCGAGCCAGATTTGAGGATCACTGCTGTACACCATAGATATATATACATATCTATGGTCTACACTGAATGCGGTGCGGCGCGGCGCGGCGCGGCACGACACGACAGACAGAAAACTGCTGCTGAGTTCTTTTATGACGTATTGACCCAAATTTCAAATTATTTTCAATGGTCGCTTTGTCGCGTCCAGTGTACTAGACAGACTTTAGCTGTTGCGGCGCAGACACGGTGTTACTCACCTTTCGAGAAGAAACAAAGCAACCTCGGCGTCCGATCGCAGGCCTACCGCTCCTACCGTTCTCTCCAGCGCTGGAAAGCTGATCCAATATTTACACGGGTCCTACTTCTTGCCTTATTGCCTTAAGCCTTCCTTTGTTCCGCAGATGTTTTCCTCTTTTGTTTTTTATCCGCCATCTCTATCTTTCTGTCGCTCGGCTTAATGTCTGTCCCGTGCACTGAACGCTCTCTCCTCCACATCATGAGTAGACACGCCCCTTACTGCTGATTGGCTTTGGACGTTTGTTTTGCTATTCGGCCCGAATCAGTTTTCTAAAGCGTTTTTGAAAAATCGCTTACCCCACCTTTAATGAAGCCTATTCAATCCACTTATATAAAATTATCATATTTTGTTATAAATCATAAAAAGGCTGAAAAATATCAGGATTTTTTTTTTTTATTCAGTATTTCCAAATAAATAATATTTAATATGTGTTCTAGGACAACAAGAGGCAGAAGAAGACTCTGAAAAAGACTCGCAAGTTCATGGTGGATGGGGTAGAAGTCAGTGTAACAACGTCCAAGATCCTCACAGACAATGACATCAAAAACGAGGAGATGAGATTCCTCCGGTGAGCCATCAGCTGTTTAACTGCTCCGAGATGATTTGCATGTTTGCATCATATTTGCATTCATTGGTAATGACTTTGGTGATACTTCCTGTTCGTGCCTGGGCGAGCATCCTGTTAGACTGGATAATGCCATTTCCAGAAAAGCTCTACTGCTTTCAGCCTTATGCAGTTTTTTTTTCTTGTCTAGCATCAATCTTAAACATTTTAGAGATAAAAGGATAATTATGATAATCATTTAGATTTTAATTCATACTTTTTGGTAATCCTAAAATTGTAAACAAAAGTGTGGGATGAAAAGGCAGTCATCCAGCTGATGTTTCTTTGTTAAATATCCAGTTTATACTTAAATGAGATGTAAAATGGGTTGTAAATGTGGTTTAATGTTGACTTTAAACTGAGGAATAAGTAATAAAATACTTTTTAACTGCAAAAATGTGCCTAAATCAACATTTGTAGGTGGATTTATGGATTACATAACAAAAGCTAAAAAATGATTAAGTGTAAAAGTCATTTAAATACTGTGCATTCTTAAAAGTAAAGGGTCCAAAAGGATTTTTTTCGCAGCAACTTTCCCCAAACTTTTTCAGTTTTTTAAAAGAACCGTTTTATTGTCAGTGTGTAGAACAATTTAAAGTTCTAAAGAATCTTAATCCACTATAAAGACGTTTTTACGGAATGGAAAGTTTCTGTGGATGTTAAAGGTTCTTTATGAAATGCTAGATGCAAATAAAGAACCTTTATTTTTGTTGTTGGATCAGTGTAAAATGAGTGTAAAATGTGTGTTTCAGGCGTCAGGAGCTGAGGGAGTTGAGACTTCTGCAGAAAGAAGAGCAGCGAGCCCAACAGCAGCTCAGTAACAAACTCCAGCAGCAGAGAGAGCAGATCTACAGACGCTTCGAACAGGAAGTCACGGTGAGCAAGAACCAACTGATGTCAAACAACTATTTACTGGGATCTCCCTTGAAACCATGCTCTGTTGCCACAACAGGACCCAAAGCCTGTCAAGATACTCTGCTGATGTGATTATTTTCTGGTATTTATTACATTAATAGCTTTAGTTAGGTGTGTAAACACTACTGGTGACACCAAAGCCTGAGACACTAAGCTTTTTAAACCTATAGTCTAAAAATAAATGGTAAAAAAAATATAGTGTGAGTTGATTTTGTGAAAATTGTTTAAAAAGCATCATACCAATTATTAATTGAATTAATTAATTAGTTTGTTAATGTGTTCAAGTTTAAACATTTAAAACATTTTAATCTTTAGGCAACAGTGGCTGTTTGGTCAAACTATATATGTTCTTACTAAAGAAAAAATTAAAGGTGGGGTAAGCGATTTCTGGTTGCCAATGTTGACTTTTGAAATCACCAAAACAAACACGCCCCTACCCCAAAAGTGTCTTGCCCCTATTTTGATAGCTCCGCCCCACACATACGTACGCAACCCAGGCAACGATTAGTTCTGTGAAACAAAGCAAAACCAATGTTACATCGTGTCTACACCAGACGCGAGTGGCGCGGTGCGACAAATTACTATAGAACTCATTATAATCAGTGATGCTATACACCAGTGATCCTCAAATCTGGCTCGCGAGTGGATCTCGCGAGCCAGGTTTGAGGATCACTGCTGTACACCACAGATATATATACATATCTATGGTCTACACTGAATGCGGCGCGGCACGACACGACAGACAGAAAACTGCTGCTGAGTTCTATTTACTGGGATCACCCTTGAAACCATGCTCTGTTGCCACAACAGGACCCAAAGCCTGTCAAGATACTCTACTGATGTGATTATTTTCAGGTATTTATTACATTAATAGCTTTAGTTAGGTGTGTAAACACTACTGGTGACACCAAAGCCTGAGACACTGGCGAGAACCTCACTGAATTACATCACATGCTCAACAGCTTCATTATTTTTTGGGTACATAATTTGTGTCTGACTATGAAGGGGAGGTCAGTAATTTAAGCTAGCTGGAATTGTGCCAGTTAACCTGGTCAACAGTCATTTTAATGGTTAATTGTATTTATTTTATTTTTTCATTTATTTTTATTTTGTCACTAATTGTGTACTTTTCCTCCTGTTTTACATAATGCCATCAGCCATGGCAAAGATTTGTTATTCTTGTAGATCTGCTTTATATTTCTGTGTTTTCTTGTCTTACTAGAGTAAGAAGCGTCAGTATGATACGGAGGTGGAGAATATGGAACGGCAGCAGAAACAGACCATTGAGCGTCTGGAGCAGGAACACACCGAGCGTCTCCGAGACGAGGCCAAACGCATCAAAGCCGAGCAGGACAAAGAGCTTTCCAAGTTTCAGAGCTCGCTCAAGAACCGCAAGAAAGAGGTATGGAAGAGTTTAGGATGTTTTTCCCCCCACTTTCCAGAAGATGCTTCCTGTTGTTGATTTTAATACGCTTGTGAGCTCTTTTCCCAGACTGCTTCTGATGTGTCCTCAACTAAATAAAATCCCCACTGCCTGAGCTTCACCCTGTAAAATCCACCCAAATCTTCTTTATATTCCCTCTCTGACACTGGCTTTTTTTCACCCAAACATGTGATCATCCTGAAACATATTAGGAAGGATCTAATTCCCCTGTGGGGAAGTAGTGGCCTAATGGTTAGAGAGTTGGACTCATAACCCAAAGGTTGCAGGTTTGAGTCTCGTACCGGCAGAGATTGTAGGTGGGGGGAGTGAATGTACAGCGATCTCCTTGTGAGGAGGTACTGCAACATCCAAAAAATTGCTCCTGAGGTTGTTTTTCACTACTTGATTTTTCTAGATGAGGCACATTTTGTCCTTTTTTTGTTTTTGTAGTAAAAAAAGTTTTTTTTTTTCCTGTGTTGTTTGTTTGCACAACACTCAGATTTTATAGTATATTAAAAGAGTAATCTCCTTGTGAGGAGGTACTGCAACATCCAAAAAATTGCTCCTGAGGTTGTTTTTCACTACTTGATTTTTCTAGATGAGGCACATTTTGTCCTTTTTTTGTTTTTGTAGTAAAAAAAATTTTTTTTTTTTCCTGTGTTGTTTGTTTGCACAACACTCAGATTTTATAGTATATTAAAAGAGTTTTACACTTCTGATTATGTGGTGCATGTTACACAAGCACAATAAAGCTAATTGTTTCAGCTCAGAAGATTGCAGATGTGTGCGTTGGTGTGTTTTGTTCATACGGTTTAAGTTTGAACCCGTTATGTGTGCTTTGACTGTACTGACAAGGATGTAGCACATGTGACCACACAGTCTCTCCAGCGCTGCCCTGCAGGATGTAAGCGGTGTGTCTGTTGTGAAACATGAACTCCGCTTTCCTCTTTCTTCATCCACTTTACTGTCAGTGTTTGGTCTCAAATGGAGAAGTCCGTACAATATTAAACTTGTATAGATGGTTAAAGCAATTTCATCTTTTTCAACAGCACTGTCATTAATGTAATGTTTACCACAGATTTTTTTTCCTCCTCATTAAAAAAAAAAAACACTGTTCTAAAAACCCTTTACAAATTCCCATGCAGAATTAGCCTTCCGGTTGGCCAACAAATAGACGTCACGATTAAGTAGCTCTATTCATGCTGACTTTAAATATAGAGTCGTTTAGAGGAAATAATAGTGATTAGCAGTTAAGCTCAAGACTCTTTCATTCCAAATGAGCTTTAGTTTCTTGTAGGCTAAAATGGTTCACTAAAGTGTTTCTGTTTAGGGTACATTTGCCAAAATTGCCCTATATACTATTTTAATGCTAGTTGTTAACGCTTTGTGTGTGTATGATTGTAGGAGCAGGAGTTTCTTCAGAAGCAGCAGCAGGATCTGGACAGCGCTCTGAAGAAGATCATTCAGCAGCACAAACATGAGCTGGCCACTATAGAGAGAGACTGTCTCAACAACAAGCAGCAGCTCCTGAGAGGTCAGTCCGGACATCGCCACTCAATATTAGCCCTAAAAGTCTCACTCTCATCCTCCCCAACTGATCACTTACAGCTTTTGCAGTGTTAGCAGTTCAGACTATTCAGACTCTCATGTGGCCTTTAGCAGTCTGGTCTGATCCTGCTGTTAAATGCATTACCATGGCATCTGCTCCATATGCCATTCTCAGGGCTTTTTAGAGGCTCCTATACTGCAAGTCGAACGTAACATATCCTACATGATATCTCAGATGCCTGAAACCTGATGAGTTGTCTGCTGTTCAGGAGGTGATATACTGTATAGAGGAGGGAAAAAAAGAAACAAAATGGCAATGATAGCATTTGTTTGTTCAGGTTTGCACATTTGTTTTCCACACCTGTTTATGCAAATATTGGCTAAACCAGTTTTTTTGTTGACTTTGATGTATTTTGGGCATCTCCGGACCCTTTTATGTTTATTTAAATATTTTGCTCTGGGTATTAGAGAGAAAATATAAACAACTGTTCAAAGGAATATCCATTTTTCATATTGTATGTTATGTTTTGATGCCTAAATTTGTGGAATTTAAAATGATTTTAGTTTTTAAGGGGTTTTTTTACAGTAAGAGAATTGTAATATAAGCCATGCCATTGAAAGCAGTGTTCAGCTCATTTAACACTGTTCTTCTTAATTCTTGCAGCCAGAGAAGCCGCTATGTGGGAGCTAGAAGAGCGTCACCTACAGGAAAAACACCAGCTACACAAACAGCAGCTGAAAGACCAGTACTTCATGCAAAGACACCAGCTGCTCAAAAGACATGAGAAGGTTACTTCCCAGATCAGTCTTACATGTGCTCTTCTGGCTGCTATTGGTGTGAATTTTTACTCTAAATGTGTTTCTGTACAGGAAATGGAGCAGATGCAGAGGTATAACCAGCGTCTGATAGAGGAGATGAAGAACAAACAGACGCAGGAGAGAACCAGGCTGCCTAAGATCCAGCGCAGTGATGCTAAGACCCGCATGGCCATGTTCAAAAAGAGTCTGCGCATCACGACCACAGGGGTCACACCGGAACTGGAACGTGAGAGAGTCAAACAGGTCAGGGGTCATATCAGCTTCAGACTGAAGGATTAAAGGAATAGTTCAACCCAAAATGTACTCACCCTCAGGCTGTCCAAGATGTAGATGAGTTTGTTTCTTCATCTGAACAGATTTGGAGAAATTTAGCGTTATATCACTTGCTCATCAGTGGATCCTCTGCAGTGAATGGGTGCCGTCAGAATGAGAGTCCAAACAGCTGATAAAACCATCACAATTATCCACACCACTCCAATCCATCAATTAACAGCTAGTGAAGTGAAAAGCTGTGTGTTTTGCAAGAAAGAAATCCATCAAGATGTTTTTAAATTTAAACCTTTGCTACAATATCCTTTATACATAATATTTCTTTCCCCAGTGAAAAATTCACCTTGTCTGAATCAGGAGAGAAATATGCACAGATCAAGCACCGTTTATAAGTGAAAACAGTCCAAAGCAGTTCTAAACAAATATGTTTGTGGATTTTGATGTAAGAGGATGGACTTTTTCACTGGAGAAAGCGTTATGATGTATTACTCATATTTTGGCCAGATTTATGGATGAACTATTCCTTTAATAGAATCATTTTTTCTAGCATATATGAACTGTAGTGATGGCCAGTATCACTTCATATGCTATAAGGGAAATGAACATGCTCAATTAAAAGCCCAGTATTGGCTGATATCTAGCGTAGCATTAGTCCTGTCAGGTCACGTTAGTCAAGCTCGCATCAGCTGACCTTCAGCTGATCCCCATCTAGCTATGGGAATACGACACCTATCTAAGCATTCATATATAACAGCGGTGGCGAACTCCGGTCCTGGAGAGCCGCAGCCCTGCAGAGTTCAGCTCTAACCCTAATTAAAACTCACCTGCCTGTAGCTTCCTAATAACCGTTCAGACCTTGATTAGCTTGTTCAGGTGTGTTTGATTAGGGTTGAAGCAAAACTCTACAGGGCTGCAGCTCGCCAGGACCGACGTTCGCCACCCCTGATATATAAGGTCCCGCAGTAGTATCAGCAGTTTTTGCATTGCTCAATAGCTAATTACCCTCCTCCATCCCCAACTCCACCTCTGTCAGTCAGGATTCAGCCTTCTGATTCTCCTTTGAATCAGACTAATTCTAAAATGTGTACATAAAATTATTGAACTTTAACAATATCTGCAATACATTTATGTTGGTTCTGTTCTGTTTACCCTTGGGGGTTATTGCTGCTCTCCCTGCTCTCATCCATGCTAGGCTGCATGGATGCGCAGGGAGTTCTTGCCCAGAACAGAACCATACTGCCAATCCAAACTGTATGCTAATTGTCAATCATCTTTGACGATAGTGGTCCTGACAGAAATTATATATATCTAATGATCTCCAATCAACAGATAAATAAAAATCTGTAATGTTGGCACAAAATATCTGTGCCATATTGGTTATTGGCCAATATATTGCAAGATGTGCCGATATCATTACTATATATCCAATATTGCAGTTACTGAATAAATCTCTAATATTGGCCAATAACAGATTACATATTGTGCATCCCTAAATATTTAAACATATTACACCGATTATTTTCTTCTTATAGTCGACATGTTTGTGTGTGTAGTAAATATTGTATATTTGTGTGTCCAATGAACAGTTTGCGGCACAGGAGGAGAAGAGACAAAAGAACGAGCGTGTCCATCAACACCAGAAACATGAGACTCAGATGAGAGATCTGCAGACGCAGTGCGACGCCAACGTCAGAGAACTACAGCAGCTGCAGGTACACACTTCAGCAAACCGTACAGCATTTCTGCAAGTGCATTATTTTTATAAATTGGTTTCTTCATCCTAAAAACAAAAGTAATAGTGTCTCGTGTGTGTTTCAGAATGAGAAGTGCCATCTGTTGATCGAGCATGAGACTCAGAAGCTGAAGGAGCTGGATGAGGAGCACAGCGCAGAGCTCAAGGACTGGAGAGACAAACTCCGACCCCGCAAGAAGGTGCTTAATGTTATTAACAGTAGTACTGAACCTCAGGCGTAGTTCTGAAGTTATGAATGGTTGAGTCACTATAAATGTTGCACATGAAACCTGCAATGGAAATTTATATACACCACCATTCAAAAGAGGCTGGTAAGATTTGTAAATGTTTTTATTTCTTATTTATCTGTTTAAGTACAGCAGAAACTGTAATATTGTGAATATTATTACAATTTAAATGACTGTTCTCTATTTGAATATATTTTAAAATGTAATTTATTCCTATGATCATGTTATAATCATTCATTGCTATTTTGCTGCTTAAGAAACATTTTCCTATTATTATCATTGTTGATAACTGTTGTGCTGCATAATGTTTGTGGAAACCATGATATTTTTTTCATGATTCTTTGATGAATCGAAAGTTTGAAGAAGAAAAAAAAAAAGCATATTTCATAACATTATATGTCTTATATCAGTGTTGTAATGTGACTTGATCAGTTGAATGCATCCTTGAATAAACTATGAATTTCTTTTTTTTTAAATCACTTTTTATTAATATTTTCTAGGTTATTTTCAATCTTCATTAAACCAATATATTGTGATATTATTAAGCAATTAAACTGCTGTTCTTTCTGATAATTCAGAGAAATTGCACGGTATCTTGTGCTCTTTGTGTACATTGAATGAGACTTTTAAAGGTGCACTCCTTTTTCATTTATTAAAAATGGCATGTTTAGATCACACGACAAGCCAAATCTGCTGTGTTTCAAAGTCTGCCGATCTTGCTAAACACCCTGTTACAAGACTTATTCGCACTGAATGAATCTATAATGGCCTGACTATGAAACGCTTTTGTATAATGCTTCATCCACCTGGTGTCAGTATAAGTCCAGTAAATCATTACTGAGTGCACCTTTAATATTCCATGTTTCAATCATGTTAAAAAGGTTGCATTGGTTAATGTACTAAGAACGTGAAACCTCTGTGTGCAGGCCCTTGAGGAAGAGTTCGCCCGTAAGCTACAGGAACAGGAAATGTTCTTCAAAATGAGCGGGGAGTCTGCATGCCTTAACCCCTCCACCCAGAGCCGGATCTCAAAGTTCTACCCCGTCCCGAGTGTCCAGTCCACTGGGTTTTAATGCACACATTCACGCTAAAAGCACAGACATGCTAAACTGCATTGTGACTGAACTTCTGCTGCCTTGTTCCCTCTGATCGCTGATGTCAGTCAGAAGGAAGGAGGGACTTCATAGTTCCAGTAAACTCCAGAGAAGTTTTTTTGCTTTTGTTTTTATTTTATTATTCTTTTTTAACTTTAAAGGAGGATTTTCGGTGTGGTTTCCCTAAACCAGGGGTGCCCAAACTCGGTCCTGGAGGGCCGGTGTCCTGCAGAGTTTAGCTCCAACCCTAATCAAACACACCTGAAGCAGCAAATCAAGGTCTTACTAGGCATACTTGAGGTTTAGGCAAGCTGGAGCTAAACTCTGCAGGACACCGGCCCTTCCCTAAACATTTCAGCAATAGTTTATGAAAGATAATGTGATTCTGTATGCCACTAAATAGATTTTTTTTTTGATTGATTTTTACCTTTTTTTCCCTCTCGAATCAGTGGTCTCAGTGTCTTAACGATGTGGTTTACTGTGGTATTTTAGGATTATACCTAATACATACATGGAATGACTGTTCAGCTTCGAGCTAATTTGCTTGCACTAAAGAGTCAATGCTTGATGTCAGTAGTTACGAGAACCAAGCGAATGATTTAAATCTTGAAATCAGTCTGAATCAGTTGTGTTGTTGTTGTTTTTGCCAATTAAAACAAATGTTCTTAAATTTGTTGATTTCAATTATAATGAAGTTTAAAGGCACATTATTTAGAGGTAAATAAGGAAATTTCTTTGTTATTTTGTGTATGAATAACAGGATTTAAATATATTTGATTCTGTTATCTCGCATCACTTTTATTGAGCATTGTTTACTTAAAATGGATCTATAGGATTTAAAGTAGCAGCAATTTTTAGCATAGCATCCACACTGTATGAAAATATCCTGACGTCACTGTGGTTTAAAGTGCATTTGCGCTTGCACTGCTATGCAATGTGAACATGTAGCCTATGTAAATCATCTCAACTTTCAATTATGTCTGTGAGCTTCAAAGCAAGAGAGCTCAATCTCGTCATAATGTCCATGCTACTTATTCTCCAAAAAATACCAAATGGTTTTTTCAAATGCATGTGTTTTAGTTTCATTGAGATGCACTCAGAGACCTCTACAATACATTTGGGTACTTTTCGGTGAAATCGTATAGAGGATGATGTGTCCTGTGAACCGACACAGCTTTAATCAGTCAGGTATTGTATATTGTAGCACTTTTTTTTTGTACTAGATTTCCTTTCATCTCAACTTTCAACATACAGTTCTAAATGTGTTTACTGCATTTGTGCAGTAATCTGTAAAAACTGAACAAAACATTTAAAATCTGTGACAAAAAACAAATGTCAAAACATGTAATTCTTGTCGTTATGATATCCTGAGAGCATTGCTCATGTTTTACAGCACATTTGACTGAACAGAGAGTACCATGCACCTCCTGATAAAGGAATTCCTGCAGGTAGTCGCGTACTCTGTACATTCATGATGCCTGTTTATATTTTCATAAACTTTTTTTTTTAAGCATTTTCAACTGATGAGGTAAAGTTAGTAGCATAACAGTTGTATGTACTGTGTTTGTGTCAAAGATCAAATCATTGTGATTATAGGAAGCTGCTGTAATTAAAACATTTGCGGTAAATAGTTCAGTTGTCTGGGTCTCTGTATTCAAGTCTCTCTCTGTTTATGAACATTACTGTAGGTCAGTGTAAGTCACAGCTTTAAAATAAAAAGCAATCTTTATTCTCAATTTAAATGTCAAGCCACTTTTAAGTCTAATGAAAGCATTTTAAAAAACGCAAATGATAAAAAGCACAATTTAAATCTAAATGTGTTTACTGCATTTGTGCAGTAATCTGTAAAAACTGAACAAAACATTTAAAATCTGTGACAAAAAACAAATGTCAAAACATGAAATTCTTGTCGTTATGATATCCTGAGAGCATTGCTCATGTTTTACAGCACATTTGACTGAACAGAGAGTACCATGCACCTCCTGATAAAGGAATTCCTGCAGGTAGTCGCGTACTCTGTACATTCATGATGCCTGTTTATATTTTCATAAACTTTTTTTTTAAGCATTTTCAACTGATGAGGTAAAGTTAGTAGCATAACAGTTGTATGTACTGTGTTTGTGTCAAAGATCAAATCATTGTGATTATAGGAAGCTGCTGTAATTAAAACATTTGCGGTAAATAGTTCAGTTGTCTGGGTCTCTGTATTCAAGTCTCTCTCTCTGTTTATGAACATTACTGTAGGTCAGTGTAAGTCACAGCTTTAAAATAAAAAGCAATCTTTATTCTCAATTTAAATGTCAAGCCACTTTTAAGTCTAATGAAAGCATTTTAAAAAACGCAAATGATAAAAAGCACAATTTAAAGCACATACCCAGATTATATGTTAAATCCCATTCTGCAGTCATGCAAGAAAACCAGACTTTCATGATGAGGAAAAAATACATTTGCAAAAATGTTTTTTCTTTAAAAACTGGCATCATAAAGGTGAATTTGATCATGTAATGCTTGTTAATTCAATGTGAATATATTTAGCTTTCGGTAATAAATTGATCTAACACTGTCCAAAACAAAAAGAAAGAAAATAAATATGTACACGTCATTTTTAAAGCCTTAGCAGCTTAAGGCACACCAGCTAAATGCACTCTTCTAAATGACTGTGCTCCTCCTCCTCCGAGTGACATATGAAGCCTCACCTGTGGGGAAAAAAGGTTTATGACATTCTCATGAAAAAAATTATAATTTTATGATTATTCATGCATTTAGTAAACTGATCAATACCCTTCTCTCCTTTCATTCCTGGGATGCCTGGGTTACCTGGTAGACCTTTGAGTCCTCTGTCACCTGGATTGTAAAAAAGTAAAATTACAAACTGAATTATGAAACAAGGTAGATGAGATTTGTACAGTTGTGCTGTTGGCATCTGTGCATATGAACATCATATGGGCATGTGATAAGTAGAACATGTACCTTTTGGTCCTACTGGTCCAGAATATCCCGGCTCCCCTTTCTGCCCTGTTATACCTGGTGGTCCAATCATACGGTGGTCTACAGAAACAGTCAATTGTAATTAAAATCATGCATAGTAAATGTATAAGATTTTTTTATTTTTTTGAACAAGTCCCTTGCCTCTGATGTAGTCTATGATTGCAGTCATGTTGGAGTAAGGAAGTTCTGGACTGATTCCTGGAGGTCCAGGGAGTCCATTGAGGCCACTGAATCCTTGTGGACCTGGTGGACCTCGTGGACCTGGTGGACCTCGTGAACCTGGACTCCCTATCACACCATCTTGACCTTGTAACAGGCCATGAGCTATGGAAAAAATGCAAACATCCAAGACTCAAAAAAGAGTTCCTACATCTTTTTCTACCCATATCTTGTTTTTCCAAGGCTATTTATAAGACTGTCACATGTAGCATAACTTACACTTAATGTAATCTGAAACCTTTTTAGCGATGACTGCGTAATCCAAATTCTCATCAGAGCTTGGGTGCCCTGCAAACGTCATGTCACATTTGTTTATACAGCGCTTGATACAATACAGGTCATTTTAAAGCAGCTTGACCATTTGTGACCCTGGAGCACAAAACCAGTCTTAAGTCGCTGGGGTATATTTGTAGCAATAGCCAAAAAACACATTGTATGGATCAAAATTATTGATTTTTCTTTTATGCCAAAAATCATTAGGATATTAAGTAAAGATCATGTTCCATGAAGATATTTTGTACATTTCCTACTGTAAATATATAAAAACTTAATTTTTGATTAGTAATATGCTAAGAATTCATTTGGACAACTTTAAAGACGATTTTGCACCCTCAGATTCCAGATTTTGACCCTTATGACTGTTTTTGTGGTCCAGGGTCACATATTAAACAGTCACATTTGTTTATACAGCGCTTGATACAATACAGGTCATTTTAAAGCAGCTTGACCATTTGTGACCCTGGAGCACAAAACCAGTCTTAAATCGCTGGGGTATATTTGTAGCAATAGCCAAAAAACACATTGTATGGATCAAAATTATTGATTTTTCTTTTATGCCAAAAATCATTAGGATATTAAGTAAAGATCATGTTCCATGAAGATATTTTGTACATTTCCTACTGTAAATATATAAAAACTTAATTTTTGATTAGTAATATGCTAAGAATTCATTTGGACAACTTTAAAGACGATTTTGCACCCTCAGATTCCAGATTTTGACCCTTATGACTGTTTTTGTGGTCCAGGGTCACATATTAAACAGGAAAATAACAGAATCAATCATGTAAACATCATTAAATGTGAGACAAATTCAAATAATGCTTTTAAAGCAGCTCTAAAAAGACAATAATAGTGTCATTATTCAGCTCAAGTCCCTGTTGATTCAGTTCAGTTCAATAACGATTAATTACATTCATTAATTACAAAACAAGTTTCATTCAGCGATAAGCAGCTTTACAGGAAACAACAGTGCTGCTATCCAGGGACGTCAGTTCAATATTGATTCAGTTCGGTTCAATAACAGTGTTGATGTTGCAAAATTCATCAGTTACTAAATTAATTTGATTCATCTGCAAAGCAGCTCAACAGAAGACAATAGTGTCATTCAGCTCAAATGAGTTAAAGTTTTGATCTCATCTAATAAACATGCCACCAATGAACTGCTGAAGAAAGACTTAAGATAAAATGTGTTTAAGAAAACCCTCTTCCTACTTTTGATATACTCCTGAGGCTCTGCACGGATTTGTGGTTGGTTTTTGTTAACAGCATAAGACACTAGTCCTCCAGAGCCTCCTGGTGGTCCTTGAGGTCCTGGGGGACCGGGAGGTCCTGGCAGACCTGTGAAACCAGCATCTAAAACAACACAGATCATCCTTTTAATACAAGCTGTTCCTATTAAATTAATTTTGATAACATTTCAGCTGTTGTCTCCAGATATTGAGATTTGTAGTTGACAGATGTTGCAGGACTTTTATCTAAGCCATATGACCCAGGTCCTACCATTCAACAGTCTCAGCACTCGTCCAGCATCTTCCTGAGTGTTAAAGCCATATCCACCTGGCACACCTGGGGGTCCTGGGGGCCCTGGAGGACCAATCAGGTACTGCCTCACTTCATCTCCTATAAATAACCAAAGAAATTGTGGATGCACCAAAATCTTTCATAAACCACATTCGTTGAAAGTTAAACACATTTCACACTCACTTTGAAGGTATTCAATGACACGCGGAGGACCAATCAGGTACTGCCTCACTTCATCTC